CTCATCTGTCACCTGTACCATTTCCTGAAGCTAATTCTCTGGAGAACCCGCCCACCTGCCATCTCTTTCCTCTCCCAGAATTGCCCTGCTGTCACTTTACGAAAGAAAAGCAGACTTTGCATTCCTCAAAATCTGACTACGGTGCATTGCCAAGGAGTGCAAACAGCTTGCACTTGAGTGTGTCCCAAGCAAAGCAAGATGCCTTCAGATCGTGAAAAGTGCTATAAAGAAAAGAAAGGGTAGACAACATCATAAAGAATGGTGGGGGCGGGGAGATGGCATTAGGTAGGGTGGGCAGGGATCCCCGCTCAGTACACACCACTTAGATGGAGTCCTAAATGATGAACAAGAAGTACACCATTCAAAGATCAGGTGTCCCAGCTAATGGGACTGACAAATGCAAACCTTCAGAGGAGTAAAGGAATTATGACCATCTAAAGGTCTGGTGTAGGAGTTCTGGTAGCGTAGTGGTTACAAATCGGGCTGTGAACCACAAGGTCAGCAGTTCGAAACTACCAGCTATTCCGTGGGAGAAAGATGAGGCTTTCTGCTCCTGTAAAGATTTACAGCCTTGGAAACCCTGTACATGGTCACTATGAGTCAGAACCGACTCCATGGCACATAACAACAACAACAAAGGTCTGGTGTGGAGTCCAGGTATGGCGCTGTGAGATAAGCACTGGATTGCTAATTGCAAGGTATGCGGATAGCACCAGCCACTCTCAGAAACCCTATACAGGGTCGCTATGAGTTGGAACCAACTCTACAGCACTTAACAACAACAAAGGTCTGGTGTGGTACTATAGAATAAACACTGGACTGCTAACTGCATTTCAAACCCCCCAGCCACTCTTAGAAACTCTATACAGAGTCACTATGAGTCGGAACTGAATTGACAGCACTTAACAATAGCAACAACAAAGGTCATTTATGTTTTATTACTTCAGTAGCAGGAAATGTTTCAGAAACGACCACTGGATGCTATTATCACTTGTATGCCCGGGCCCTAAACTGAGATTTGGAGGTCAGTGGTCAAATATTTCTTTTGCTCTATTTACTCAGTTCCATAGATCTCTCCGCTTCCTGCTCTAAGAGATGGAGTAGAAATGAAATGACCACTGGATGTCATTATGGAGAGTAGATAGCCCCATACACTGAAAGGAGATAGAAGAAAATAACTTAAAATCTAAAATACATCTTGTTCTCCTTGATTGTAAAGGGAGTGTAAATCGAGAGTCAATCACTCTTTGAACAGGAAGGGAGAGTTATGTGGAAGTAAGTAAATGGAGCAAAAGAAATATTTGACCATTTACCTCCATATCCCAGTTTAGGACTCTAAGCATACAAGTCAGGGTGGTTTTATTCATCAATGTCTGTGAATTCTCCCATGGCTCCCTCTGTGGGAAAACAATGGACAACTTGACATCAGTCTGCTCCCTACTCAGAGAATGAAAAGTCTAATCAAGCACAAGAAAGTAAACCCAACCCCAGTAGCTTAAAAGCACTTGAAGAATCAACATAAAATTTTGTCCCCCAAAAAATGCATGTAAATGCTAAGTCAGACGGAAGGGAAGGAAGGCTGGCTGTCGTTCGTCAAGTAAAGTTCCCAGGTGGTTTTTGTTGTTGTTGTCGTTGTTTTTATCTGAAAATTCATTTAATTGATTTGACCATTCAGTTTAATTGTTCTAGAAATTAACATCATAATCACAGGGCTATTGTGAACTCTGGTGAATTGAAAGAAATCTTATAAATGGTTTTGTCTACTAGGGTCAGTTTTGTGTTTTTCTTTTAATGTTTTGTTGTGAATTATGTGATAGTTTACATAAGAGAACATTAGCTTTACATTCATCCTATATCGTTACATTGTCATGGTTACAATCCCCTCTTCCCAGGTGTTTTTGAATTAGAAATGGTCGGTGTTGTGCTGAGAAGAATATCCTGGCACCAAAACTACCTGCCATGGACATCACTCTAGGACAATGAAACATCTAAGAAATAGCCCCATTCCTCATGAACCAAGTACCCTGACTGCCCTCTTTTATGAAGCTGCATGAATTCCTCCAAGCCACTTGAGGTCTCAACTCACTGACATCGATTCTGACTCACAGGCTGTAAACCTTTACAGAAATACAAAGTGTTATCTTTCTCCCGAGGAGCTGCTGGTGGATTTGAACTGCTGACCTTGTCGTTAGCAATCCAGTGTTTATCCTAGATTACAGTGCCTGTAAACCCCCACAGGCAAAACAAAGGTCAGTAGGTGTAAATTAGAGTGCTATGGCATAGGGACTACAGCAGAGAATGGGCCACTGTCTGAATGTGAGGCTTGAGTGAATAATGCCCATGGGACTCTGCTCTATCTTCCCTTGGTGGTGGTGGCTATGTGCCGTGGAGTCGGTTCCGACTCATAGCGACCCTGTGCAGGGTTTCCGAGGCTGTAAATCTTTACGGGAGCAGAATGCCTCATCTTTCTCCCATGGAGCAGCTAGTAGTTTCGAACTGCTGACCTTGCAGTTCACAGCCCAATTCGTAACCACTATGCTATCAGAGCTCCTTGGAGCCAATTTAATAACTCCCTGACTTCTCAGGAGGAGGCATTCTGAAAAAGTTGCACACAGCTCCATTGTCTGGCTAACTGTCCTGCTCTCCATGGCTAACTGCTGGGTTTCCTTGAGACACACTCTGGGCTCTCTCTCTCTCTCTCAGATCTCATTAGTTCCCATAACTTTAAGAAACAATTCAAATCATCCTTGTGCTGATGTTGACCAAATGTGAACCTCTAACCCTGATAGATGTTCCTTCTGAATCCGCATTCATATCTCCATTTATCTGTCTCCTACACAGCTCAAACTTGTCCAAAGCAGAGCTCTGAGGGTTCCTCCTCAGGCCCATCCCACTCTGCTCCACCCGCTTTCCTGAGGTGGGAAATAGCACCACCAGCCACCCAGTTGCTCACACCCGGAAACTGAACTTCATGATTCATCTCCAACATTTAGCCAGCCTGACAGAGAACAAATGTTTAATGACAATTAGTTGACTAAAAGAAGGAAATCATTTATTGGTGCTTTCTCCCACAGTGAAGCAGCTGTCCCACAGTGGGCATCTCATTCCCACAGTACTCATTTCTGAATTGGGTCCGAATCTGAGTCTCTCTGCTTATCTCCCCTGCTCTTTCTCCACAGAGGAATGTCAACAAGAAAAGATACCTTCTTGCCCCAAAATGACACAACAGCTAGGAAATCCTGCTCCTTTAAAAGAACCTTGTAGATGAGTACAGTGAAACGGGTAGCTTTATTGCTCTTTCAACTATGGGTATGTTGTTGTTGTTTAGTGCCGTCAAGTCGGTTCCAATCCATAGCGACCCTGTACAGGGTTTCCGAGGCTGTAAATCTTTACAGGAACAGAAAACCTCATCTTTCTCCTGTGGAGCAGCTGGTAGTTTCGAAATGCTGACCTTAAGGTTCACAGCCCGATTTGTAACCACTATGCTACCAGAGCTCCTTAATTATGGGCATGGGACTTCGTTATTGAATCTCTAATTCTCAGTGACTGTTTTAGTTTGTCTAGTTAACTGGCATTTCCTATCTCTGAATATAGTTGACTTTGACCGAGGATGTAATTACTACTACTGACCTTGTCTAACTCAGAGTTTTTATTCCAGAGCCTGTGTGTTCTTGGGTGCCCAGTAAAGGGCAGGGGGCATACTTATGAGGGCAGAAACTGCAGCCGCAGAGAAGAGTGGGAAAGGGAACAAGCTCTGGACCATTTCTAGCTTAGGCTGTCACACACTGTCTAATCTTAAGCAAGTCATTCCACCTCTCTAGACTCTTCTTTGACTGTTTGAGCCTCAGTGGCTTCCAGCCAAGACTTGATGGCCAATTAACACCATCGGAGTTCCTGGGGCCAGGGCAGCTGGCATTTCCCGGAAGCCCAGAACTCACTCAGACAATGATCCGGTATAAGATGTTTTCTGAGGGACATTGGTTGTTTGCTGGCAAGAGGATCTTTGTGGGAAGTGTTAATCCTTAAAGAGAGCTAACAGGTGCCCTTTGCTATGGAACTTCTCAGAACTTCTAAAATAAGCTTAAAGAAGGGAAGACCTGGTAGGTGTAGGACCCTTCCTTGATGGTCGTGGTCTGTGGATCAGACTTGGAAATGTCTTTGAACTCTGGCAGCTTACAACTTTCCTAGCTATGGGGGAAAAGTTCTCAGGATGTCAGTTGGAGTGGGGACTAAGGGAAGGATATCTCTGCCCTCAAGTCCCTAAACAATTCAAGGCCCTTTTAGGTTTCCCCAAATGAGAAAGGTGGGGAGGAGATGGATGCTTGTGTGCTCCAGCCGTACCCTTGACACTGAGAAACAAGAGTCCACTCAGCCTTCTGCTGCATGCCCCCATCCCCAAATCTCCAGGACTAAATGGACAACAAGATTTTGCCAATGTGGATGGCATACAATGGACTAACTTCCTTGGTTTCAGAGGCATGGTCTTCAATCACACTGTGCCCCACACAGTCATATGGGAGAGATGAAAGTCAGGGAGACCAGGAAGGGACCAGAGATGTCAGTACAGTGGGGAGAGAGATGGGCCAAGGAAACACAGACACCAGCAGTGAAACACAATGCATTTTATTGGCGACAGAACAGGTGAGCAGAAGGGGCTGCATGTTATTTACACCAGAACTCTGGTCACCATCCCACCCAGGGAATGGACCCCAAGGGTAGTAGAAGTCAACTGAGACCTCCCTGGACATTCACTGGAACGGGCAAGAGCCAGCGAAAGGAGAATGAAATTCCTTTAACTGGCCATGACCAGAGTCTGTATGGAGGAGCAAGAAGCCCCCTGTCTTCTGACCCCAAAGAGCTACTCCTCTTGGGGAGGGGCGAGGAGTGTTTGGGGTGCTGGGAGTGTGACTGATGTCGGGAGGTGAAGCGCAGATGCAGACAGGAGGGGAGGCATGGATTGGGAGGAGAGACTACTGGTGGCTGCCTTGCGAGGGGCTTATTTATCTGGAGCAACGCTGGGAGGAGGATGAAGAGAACTTGATGCTGCCGCCCCGATTGCTGCTGGAGCTGAAGCCTCCGCCACTGATCCCACAGCGACCCCCGGAGCCAGAGCCGGAGCCAGAGCCAAGGCGGCTGCCACCGCCAAACCCACAGCTTCCTCCGAATCCACTGCCGCCTCCCATTCCAAAGCCGCTGCCTGAACCGCCTCCCATTCCAAAGCCGCTGCCTGAACCACCTCCCATTCCAAAGCCACCGCCGTAGCTGCCTCCGTAACCACCAGCTGAGGCTGAAGTCGTGCTGCTGCTGCTGACCACAGCTGTAGGAAGGAAAGGACAGTACATTAATCAGCGGCCCAGGGCCCATTTCACTATATTAGGATCAATCTAGGAGCCACGGTGCCAGGATAATTGGGAGAGAATCAACGCAGCTTTGGATCGCTGTGAGCCATTCTGTGCCATTAATTATTCATTCTCAGTTTAAGTCATTATGGATAATTATCCAATAACTGCTTTTACAAATGACCCATTCTTGACAATCCCCTTGGAGATTAATTACTCCACCTTAATGTCTCCTCCCATTCCTGGGCTCCCCGCTGAATATCCCCCATCCGTAGTCTAAACCTGGTGTGGCACTGTAGGATCAGCACTGGAATGTGAACCACAAGGCTGGCAGTTCAAACCCACCAGCTGATCCTCAGAAACCCTATATAGGCTCACTGTGAGTCAGAACTGACTCAATGGGACTTAACAACAACAAACCCAGAGCAGCTACAAAAGTCAGTTTACAGTTCCTCTCTGCGTGGTGCCCAGGAAGCCCCTCCTACTTCCTTAGAAATCATTGTTTCAGTGAGTTGCTATTGCCCAGCATTAGCACAGATATTTGAGAATGGTCCCTCATTAGCATGGTTACTTTGGTTACTTACAGATGCTCACAGCACTCTGGCACTCTCCAGACATCCTGTTTGGGAAAGCAAGAGAAAAATGGCACTCCATCACAAAATTCACAGATCAAGGTATGAATAGCAATCAGAAATGAATTCCGCAGCCTGATACATCAGTGCCCTTTTTCTCCCCTCTATGGACAATAACACAGAGAATCTGTGAACATCGGTTGCAGATGCACTTTGGCTACCTGTCAAGGGATTGCGCTGGTAAGGGCAAGTACTACTCTACAAAACCTATGAAGGCCAAGGACTTCTCTATACACAGCAGTTCTCCATCCACATTTACTTGGCCTCTGATCTGGCCCTTAGCATTTGACCTTGGACCAGGGGGTATGTGAGAGACTGGAGACCCACCTGCACTCCTCGCCTTCCAGCAGTTTGCGGTAGGTAGCAATCTCCACATCCAGGGCCAGCTTGACATTCATGAGCTCCTGGTAGTCACGCAGCAGCCGAGCCAGGTCATCCTTGGCCTGCTGCAAGGCGGCCTGCAGATCTTGGAGTTTGGCATTGGCGTCTTTGAGGGCCAACTCCCCACGCTGCTCAGCTTCTGCAATGGCTGCCTGGAGATTGGCATTCTGGGGTGTAGGAGAAGGGAAAGAGGTGAGCCAATAAGAAGTCTTTGGATCTTAGAATGGATTTTCCCATTGCAAGCATCTGAAAGTCAAGCAACATTACCCATCCCCTAGCTCCTCCATCTTGTCTCTATGGATTAGCCAGCCATCTAGACTGGTTTGATCATTGAACACCTGCAGGTTCTCCCTGAGCTGACCTCTAGGATTCCATTCCAGGCTAGGATTCCTCAGACCCTAGCCCCACTCCTCACTAATCTTTCCAGTCACCAGCCCACCTGTTTCTTGACATTCTCGATCTCCGCCCGCAGCCTCTGGATCATCCTGTTGAGCTCCATGATCTCACTCTTGGTGTTCCTCAGGTCATCACCATGTCTGCCAGCCGTGGTCTGCAACTCTCCCAACTATGAGAACAGAAGGGCCAATGAGGTGCCAATGCAGCTTTATTGATATTCTCAGCATCACCTTAAGGTGCTTAGCAAAACGGGTAAAAATGACATTGCATATTGTTTCAGCATGAACGCTTTTAAGGCTTCAGAGAAGGGAAAACCTGAGTTTTTATGGGAAGATTCTTCCACCATTACTCCCTGAGTAAGCTTGGTGCTATGGCTAGAATCAATTCCATATGACCTGACATTGGACAAAGGAATCACCTCCCCCCAGGGGATCAGACTGTTTTGCAACTGTTCAACAACTATTAGAGGGTTGTCTCCAGAATGCAGAACCAAGAGGAGTCCACCCAGTGACCACTGACACCTTGCTGTTCAGAAGTTCCACAAGGCACAGCCTCCCTGAGGCCCTTGATGGAGCCTCTGAGAAGTATCTTAAACTCACCTTGGTCTGATACAGGGCCTCGGCCTCAGCCTTGCTCCTTTGAGCGATGTCCTCATACTGGGCCTTGACTTCAGCGATGATGCTGTCCAGGTCAAGACAGCGGTTGTTGTCCATGGACAGCACCACAGATGTGTCACTGATGTGGCTCTGCATCTGAGACAGTTCCTGCCAATAAAAACAGAGAATCTCAGGCTGTCTGCAACAAGCACACCAAGATCCCCAGAGAACTCCTAATCAACTGATTTTTAGCTCTGAATGTACACCTGGCCCCGAATCACTCAGAGAATACCATGTTCAGTTCAACCTGTGGGACTCCCACCAGAGGCCCTTACCTCTAGTCTTATTCCAAATAGCCTTCTAAGACCCTAGTACCAAAATGTTCCAGCCTCAAATCTGAAAGCATCTTGCCCTCTGTTCCACCCCCTGTTAGCTTCAGAAGTAGGAAACATCCTCACAGCATCATAGATGCTCCTCAGGAAGTTGATCTCATCCATCAGGGCATCCACCTTGGCCTGAAGCTCCACCTTGTTCATGTAAGCAGCATCCACATCCTGAGAGAAAAACACAAGCATAAAGCCCTCATTCCACCAAGGACTAAACAACAAACTACTCCTGCAGCAAGAGAAATTCAGAGAAAACCACCCAAGGCTGGTCTTTACATGAAAGAGTCCTTTTCATGTCACTGAAATGATTGAAATTCAGTACTGCTCAGAAATGATGGACAAATGAGCTGATTCTTTAAGGAGTCTTTCCAGACACTTGGCTTGTGATTATCCCTCCAGCTGTCTGAATTTGGTAGCTCCATGGAAGTGGAGTAAGAGGAGATTCCTCCCAATCCAGCTGTAAAGCTATGACTACCAACCCAGGAACTGCACACACAAGCCTTACCTTCTTCAGGGTTACAAATTCATTCTCAGCAGTGGTACGTCTGTTGATTTCATTCTCATATCTATAAGAGCAAAAAGAAATAACTGAATTTGGACTTTTAGATGGTCATAAATACCATTGTTCCTTGAAACCCTGAACATCCGTGTCTTTCATCTCTCTGTAGATGAGCACATTCTCTTTATTGAATGCCTTATTAGAGTGACCAACCATCCAGCTTCTCTGACCAGTAGTCCTTGTTTTAACACTGAAAGTCCTATGTCATGAGAAATCCCTCAGTTCCAAGCAAACCAGGACAATTAGTCATCTTACCATAAATTGACCCAGAATCCTTCAAATTCTAGAACCAGGATTTCCCTCTCCGACTCCCAATCTGGCTCACATATTCAAAATTTAAATTACTCCCTTTTACTACAATTTTATTTATAATTGATTACGCTTGGAGTAGAAAGATAAGAAGAAACTTAATGGATCAAGCTATCCTCCATAAGATAAGGAAAAGAAACCAGGATAAGCAGTACCACTGTCTAGCAATCAAAAGGAAGATAAGAACCAGGACTCTAAGACAGGGTGGTCTATGGCATCTTGCCACTCCTGCCCCACAACTCACTTCTTCTTGAAGTCCTCCACCAGGTCTTGCATGTTTCTCAGCTCTGAGTCTAAGCGGCCTCTCTCCCCTAGGATGTTGTCCAGGTAGCTCTTCAGGGAGCTGATGTAGCTCTCAAAAAGGGGCTCAAGGTTGTTGGTGCCCGTGACAGAATTTGTGCCCTGCTGCTGGAGAAGATTCCACTTGGTCTCCAGGACTTTGTTCTGTTGCTCCAAGAACCGCACCTACAATGTATTGGGAGAAGCAACATCAGGCAATGCTTGTAGGAGAGAGGAGAAGAGTCTTCACTTAGGTATAACTGGATGTCTGTATCTCTTGGCCTGCCAGCACAGAGGCACATTCTGGAAAGGATGTAGAAATGGGCTCCATCTGTAGCTGGAAAGATGGTGGTCAGACATAGACAGTTGCTTCAGTTAGGACACTGAAGATGCAGTGTGGTTTGGAAAGTTACAAAGGGACGAGAGATGGGAGAACTGGAAGAAGCCCCTGCTTGGAAGTGAGGAAATTATAAAGATGACCACTCTGTGTGTCCTGCAGATTCCATGACTTAATCCCAGCCTCCGAAAGTTCAGTGCACTCTGCAAAAAGGTGTCTACACTTCAGTAGCAGCATTTCCATCTAAAACACCACTAAAACTCCAGTCCTTCAAAGGGTGTGAATCACTAGGAACAGATATTGATTAAAATGCCGTATCACCACAATAATACTCTTCTGAGCCTCCAAAGAGATAGCCCTAAAACCTATCCTTGCCCAGGGAAGGTCACCAAACACTCATCTTTTCCTGAGGAAACTGGTAAAGGGTATAAAGTGAGTTGCCAACTTCTCTACAGCCCCTTGGTACAAAGGTTCTACTTAAGCTTCTTTAATACTTTCTTTAAAGGAGTTCTGGTAGCATAGTGGTTATGAATTGGGCTGTTCACCTCAAGGTCAGCGGTTTGAAACTACCAGCTGTTCCATGGGAGAAAGATGAGGCTTTTTGCTCCTGTAAAGATTTACAGCCTCAGAAACTCTGTGCAGGGTCATTATAAGTCGGAACCGACTCCACAGTACTTAACAACAACAACAACAACAACAATCCCTTCTTTAGGGCATCAGCTTTCTTTGCCTGCCACAGCAACACCTAGAGGAAAGAGCCACCTAGAAAACTGCAGAAAGGAGCTCATGTTTGAAAAGTTCATGTTTGACCCAATTCTGGATCAGACACTCCCCAGTCAGTGGCCTTTGTGTCCCCAGCCTCCTTTCATCTCAGAGATGCAATCTCTGCCAGCCTGGGCCTGGATAATGCAATAGATAGATGACTGAGCAGACATTCATACACTTAGGACTTGAGGATGCTCAGATCCAAATAGGGGACCATTGTATTTCCATCCTCGAATCCTCCATTCACTTGTACATATGGGCAAATTCATCATCCCTGAATATCTCCCAGACTCTAAAGTTCTACCTAATCCTTCCTCCTCTAGGACTAATCCTAAATACGATGTCTAAATATCAAACTCAAAGTCTCAGTCTAGAACTGGGGGTCCAGTCAGAGCCTTCATTACCTTGTCGATGAAGGAGGCAAACTTGTTGTTGAGGGTCTTGATCTGCTCCCGCTCCTGGGACTTTACTTGCCCAATCTGGGGATCGATTTCCACATTTAAGGGCTGCAGGAGACTCTGGTTGACAGTCACTTCTTGGATTCCTCCAGGGAAGGCACCAGGGCCAAATCCACCAGGACCACCAAAGCCACCAGGGCCACCAAAGCCACCAGGACCACCAAAGCCACCAGCTCTTCCAAAGCCACCAGCTCCTCCAAAACCCCCTCCTACTCCTCTGCCTCCACCAAAGCCACCACCAATGCCACCTCCATAGCCACCTCCGAAGCCACCTCCATAACTACCCCCATACATGCTACGTCCTCCACCAAAGCCACCAGCCCGGGAACCACTGCATGCCACACTGTAAGAGATGCTCTTACTGCCACCCAGATTGTAAAGGCTGTGGCTGCCAAAGCCACCTGCTCCACTCCGGGACCCACAGGCCCCTCCACTGGCTCCCCCAGAGCGGGCCACACAGCTCATTCTGCTGCTGCCAGAGACCACAGCCGAGCGGCCAGAGAAACCCTGGCTCCTGCTACCAGATGTCTTGCAGACTTGTCTGTTCATGGTGAGAGAGCTTGGTGAAGAGGAAAGTGTAAGAATTAAGTAGGAACACAGAGAGTTGGAAGGAGTGAAGAGAACCACAGACTTCTGCGAAACAAATCCCTTTATATACACCTGAGGAGGCTGTTGGGCTCAAAAGGAGAGATAATTAATCCCAAATATTCATGGGTTGGGTTTGCCTCCAAGGCAATAGTTTATTCCAGGCTACCAAACACACCTTGAAAAATCATCTGAAATGGTAAAAGTGCTAAGGTGGCAGGCTTACCTGTCAGGGGGGTGGTGCCTGACATTGTGCCATGCTTGGGCATGGCCACCTCCTAGCTTTGTCTGACAGAACCAGGAGGCTAGCTGTTTCGCGTCAGATGCTCAGCTGCCATCTGACTGTCAGCTGCTCTGGGGCCCTGCCAGAGCTAGAAGGTGGGGAGTAGAAAGTTTTGGCATTCTGGGTGGGAGAGACAGTGAAGCCCCCAGAAGACTCAGTATCTCTGTGAATGCCATGAAGAGCTTGAAGGAGAAATGATACAATTCACTCAGCATGGAGTCATGGAGCACCGGCTGTATGTCCAACTCTGTGCTGGGTTTAGGGACAAAGAGATGACATCTCCCATGACAGAAAGTTCAGAAGTTATTACAAATCTGCCTCTGTGTTCTTCATCTAGTCAAAGGGAAGTTAGTACCTATGCACTTTGATGACAAAATTTGCCAATTGTGTGCCTGTTTTGTTTTTTTTAATTAAAAAAACAAACAAACAGAGAAACAATATAGTGACATATCTTTGGGCTTTTCTGGTGTGGCGCTGTAAGATAAGCACTGGGCTATCAATAGTTCAAACCTACCAGTTGCTCCTCAGGAACCCTATAGAGGGTTGCTGTGATTTGGAACTAACTTGATGGCACTTAGAAACAACACCAAGGCATCTTTTTTTGCTCCCCACATTTTAGCATTTCTCTGGTTTTAGCCCAAGTTCCAGGGAACAGAAACTTTAAACAGCAGTTTCAACAAATATTTATAAATGGTCTCATGCATGTCAAATGCTGTGCAAGGCACCAAAGACCATAAATAGGACACACAGGGACCTTGGGATGGGGACCTAGTCTCTGGTGGAGGGAAAGTCTCTGGCCTCAGGTCTCCAGAAATCATCAGCTCAGGCCGGAGCTGGCAGTCACAGTCTCTTGAACACACACGAAATTGTGCGAATCAACCTGCTGATGTTCCCTAAGAGCTAGACTCTGGATGTGGCTTGTCCAAGAGGAAGGTTTTCCTGCTCAGTCCTGCAGCTTACCTAGCCAACTTCTTATCACTACAGGACAGATCTCTCACTGTTGCATCCGCTGCATTTTCGACTCTGCCAAAGGATGACCTATGGGGCCTTGGCAGGAGCCTCCTCAGAATTGGGGGAAAGGAGGAAATGACGGGGCTTCTTCAAGATCACTGGGCAGGGCTGGTGGGGGGCTCAAGTGCAAAGGAAATGAAATAGTCTTTTGTTGTTGTTGTTGTTGTTGTTGTACTTATGCTAGGTTCTAGTCACCAACTCTGTGGCATTTAACAACAACAGCCATTGGGTTGTTCACTTTATAATAGAATCCAATTTGATTATCACCAAACCCATTGTATTTGGCTCACTTGCTCTCTTGTATTTTTTTAACTTTTTGTTGTGAGTTGAGTGAAAAGAACATCGTTTTACGTCCAACAAAACCATACACTGAACTATTCTTCAGTGACCTGGTTTTACATTCGTTTTCTCTTCCCCATATGCTGTCCCCAAACTATGGAACATCTCCTCCCTCTCCCAGGATAAAACTATAAATTCTCTAGGAAGTTAGTCTTATTGTCTGGTTAACATAACCGCATTTCTTGGTTCTTTGGACAGTGCTTTGAGAGGCGTTCATAAAGGCTGGTTGGCTGGCTGGTTGGTTGGTTGTATAAATTAATCAATCAATCAACGAGTCAACTAAGCCCTTGTATTGGATTGTTTTTGTTGCTGTTGTGAGGTGCCATCAGTTTGTTCTGACTCATAATGACGTGACCCTATTGGTGACAGAATAAAACACTGCACAGTCCTGTGTCATCCTCCCAAACATTTCTATGTTCAAGTCCATTGTTGCTGCCATTGTGCCAATCCATCTTGTTACAGGGTCTTCCTCTTTTTTCTTGTTTCCAAGCATTATACCCTTCTTCAGGAACCAGTCCCTTCTAATAGCATACAACTAGATAAAACAGGAAACTGATTTGAATCCTACTACATGATGTATACCAAGCAAATTGAGATCATCGTAGCATGAGGAATTCAAGCTTCCCAAATTTGGGGTTCAGATTCAGGAAAATGTACATGCAAAATAAAGGCGCCAGTGGAAAATTGTTGAAAGTTGACTACACATTTGAGGTTACACATTCTGCCTCCTGCACAGTGTTGGAATCTCCTTTCTGACATCTCTGACTTATATCTCTGATCTTCCACAAGTGCTGTCCAGACTGTAAATGGAATATGAAATTAGCACAGGCCCACAGCTGATCAAACACAGCCATCTACCTTCTCTTTGCTTCCTCAGAGGATCCAGGCCTTGGGGAGTTGACCAAACCCAGGGTTAGACCAGACCTTCCCCATGACTAACCATGACCAAGACTGCTTAAATTCTCATTGCTTCAGCATTGTCAACCATCAAAGATAGTCAATCATCTCTGCACTCTGCATCTCACAGAAACATCGCTGAATGAATGAAATCTCTCTAAGTACTCAAGACAAGTAACACAATAATTAGGTCATGGGTTTTTTCTTTTCTTTTAATATGTAAGAGGATGCATCTTGGAGCCAGACAGATCCAGTTTTTAAATCTCAGCTGTGTCATTACATATCCATGATCAAGTGATTTCACCTCTCTGTATCTCAGTTTTCTCATGTATAGCATTACTAATACAGTCATTGCCATACTTATAAAATACCCAGAATATTGTAAGTGTTCAGCCAATAGTCACAGTTATTTTTAACTTTTGGTTATTAACTTTTAAGTCAGTGAAGAATGCACACAGAACTGTTCAGCTTTCATACCTGTCAGAAGAATTCATCAAGTTAATTCTGACTCATGGTGGCCCCATGTGTGTCAGAATAAAACTCTGCCCCTTAGACTCATCAATGACTGAGGTTTTGGAAGTAGGTCACAAGGTTTTCTTCTGAAACATAATACGTATTATATTATAAAACATAATATATAAAATATAGTATACAATAGCTAACTGCTACTTACATAAAATAGAAAGGATGAAACAAATACTAGATGATAAAATAGAATATATAATAACTAAGTAGTACTTGGAGTCCTGATGTGGTGCCGTGGGATAAAGCACTGGACCACAAAGTCGGTTTGAACCACAAACTCACCAGCCACTCCTTGGAAACACAGGGTCACTATGAGTCGGAACAAAGTCTATGGCACTTAATAACAACAACAAGTACTTAGTTATTTGAAGCCCTGGTGTGGCTCTGTAGGCCAAATACTGGTCGGCAGTTCAAACCTACCAGCTATGAGCCTGGGCAGCACACAACAATAACAACTTAGTTATTTTAGGTGGTGTATGAGTGTGAAATGGCCATTTCCTTGATATAAACTTATATATACGTTGTTGTTGTTGTTAGGTGCCGTGGAGTCGGTACTGACTCATAGCGACCTATGCACAGCAGAACGAAACACTGCCTGATTCTGGGCCAACCTCACTACTGTTGCCATGCTTGAGTCCATCAATGCTGCCACTTGGCCAATCCATCTCATTGAGGGTATATATA